TCGTGACCAAACGTGAGGCATTTCGGTGGGCTGGTGCAGGTTATGACGTTCTCGGGCTGCACCCGGAGTGTGCTTTAGCGGCCGATCTGGTAAGGAGAGTCTCTGGGAAGTGGTCGCCTACCTCCTGGGACGAGAGGGTCACTATCAGCGAAGAGGATGCCCAGACCATCAACATCGCTTGTTCTCGGTTAGCAGAACGCAAGGAGCCCTGTCAGCACGAGATCGCATTCTGTGGCGCCACGCTTACTATCACAACTGATGCTTCCCCTTACGGTATGGGCTTCTTCCTCTCCATCGGTATCGCATCTGGGGGGCAGGTCGCCCTATATGGGAAGGCCAAGTGCTGGCGGGGTAGTCAGGTCTCATGGCATCAGAACCGACAAGAAGCATACTGCCTCGGCCTTTCTTTCGTGTTCTGCGACCCCCTCATACCCTACTCCCATGGTCTCCGGGTCAAATTCCTAACTGACTCTCGCACTGCCCTCTCTTGGATGCGGGGTGGTGAGAGGGTGACGAGTCGCTCTATCGAGCGAATTGCGATTTCAAGATTGTGTGACGCGGTGGCTGACCTGAAAGAGGTGTGGGCGCGACGCTATGATGTTCATCCAGTCGTTGACCATCTCCCAGGGGAACACAACTCGCAGGCTGACTCGCTCAGCCGTCTGGCCTTCTCCTGGCACATTCCTCAAGGGGTGATCTTTGACGGTAGGATCAAGGGGACTAGAGGCGCATCAGTTACGCGCAAGTCCTCTTCACCATCTCAGGCTTACGTCCTCGCGAGTCAGGACTCGCATCGGACTCCCCGAGAAGACGATGTCGACATCGACAGGGTATCGTCGGTTCTCTACGCTATCTCCGAAGATCATTCTCCTCACATCCCCAACAGTGTCAACATCGGCATCGGTCAGCCAGCTCGGAAGGATTTATTGGACCTTCAACACGGTTCGCCGGAGGTAGCGGCAATCATGGATCAGCTTAACAGTGCGGGCGGTTGTTCGGATCCCAATGACATGGAGTTCGTCTCGGCGGGTGACGGCCTTCTTATGCGTCGCTGCCGGTCTAATGCGGGGCACGGCCTCTCGCGTCTCTGCTTCTACATCCCTTCGGATTCTCAGGAAGGAGTTGATTTCGCAAAAAGAGTGCTACACTCCTATCACGTCGACTCTGGTTGTCTCAATGCTCGGTACGTCAGATGGGTTTTCTCCAGAGCATTCTACGTGAAGGGACTCAGGAAGCTCGCCCTTGAAGTATGCCGTTCATGCGACACGTGCCAGTTCGCCCACAATAGGCGTTACTACTCCCTACGGGATGGTGGTCGAAACCTCTCAAACGGTGTCAACGGATGTTGGGAAGTTGTTTCGGCCGATCTTGCTGAGATGGGACCTGACAGAAAGGGCACATATACTTCGGCCTTATTTCTAATTGACCATTTCAGTCGCTTCGCCCTTGTAGCTCCACTGCAGAGCAGCTCTTCGTCTTCGGTCATTGGTGCTCTGTCGACCTTCATCGGTATCTTCGGTCCAATGGGACAACTTCGATCAGATCGTGGTCCCTGTTTCAGGGGGCGGAAGTTCACGGATTACTTGGCTTCACAAGGTGTGGTCCATCATGCGCTGCCCCTTATGCGGCATTCTCCAACGGCTTGGTCGAGCGCTCGATCTCTGCCATCAAGTTTATTACTCGTCAGTTGGCGTCTAAGCGCTCGTGGTCCTCTCAGATCCACCGGGTTCTCGCCAGACTCAATGCTAAGCCTATAGATGGGATCGATCTATCGCCCCACGAGATTTTCTTCGCTAGACCACGAAGGTTTCCTGTGGACAACGCCCTCCACGATGTCAATTCTGGAGCTCTCGTACCAGCGGATAAAGAGCAAGCTCGTCAGAGACGTGAGGACGGTGATTACGTGGATCGTTTGGTCTCTGAGGCTCTGAATGCCTCTAATTCGGCGTCTGCGGTTAAAAGGTTCCCCAGACGTGGTCCCCCTAAAGTTGGAACCGAGGTTCTCGTGTTCGTGCCTAACCCCATGGGCGGTGGCAGCTATGGACACGAGGTCTATCGAGTTCACCGAATTTTGGGTGGGGTTACTCTTCAGTTGGTGAAGTCGAACGTCCCTCCTGCATCGGTGACTCCCGATATCATCAAGGAGGTCCACTATTTCAACACTCGTCCCTACTATCGATCATCCGGGGGGCATGTCAGTGCTAATCAGTGATCAGCACTACTTAGGATGATCGCTCGTGGGCAGTGTTCTGTTCTGAGGCCCGTTGTGCGGGCCACCTAGTGTCGGGGTATCGGTTGATGAACTCTAAGAACAACACAACAAGGGAACTCGAGCTAGAGCAACCAATACTACGACCCTAGGACAATAACAATAAGCGCACTACCTGCACTTAAGTTCTGTACGAATACCACAGACTTAGCAGCACAGTAATCGATATTGGGCTCATTCGCTATACTGAGGAAGGCGAAGGTTTGATGAGATTACAAGGGTGCAGGCAAACTGGACCCACAACACCTCGTCCCCCCCAAAACCTGAGCCAACCCTCAGACTTCACAATAATAAGGACGATGACAATAGCTGACGGAAAGATAGAGTCTAGCAAAGGTCAACCGAGCCACGATACACGGGTATCGAGGCTACGGGACAGAAAATAAGCAAAGATCCACTTTCCTAATTGGGCCACGGTAGCTCCA